TTCTATTTAAAAATCTCTGAAACTTTTCTAAATTTTAAGAAATTATTAGCATATCATATTCAGATATCCGTACGCTGATATACTTTTGTTAATAAAATTTTTGTGCGTGTCATCGAAAATAGCGAAAATGTTATATAATATATAATAATAATATATATATAATATAATATATATATAATAATATATATATAATATGTAATATATATAATATATATAATAATATATATAATATTATTATACTTATAATATTTATTATTATATTATTACATACTACAAAGCAAGATTCTGCTTCGTCTGCTGTCAAAAGAATACACAGATTGTCTCTTTTTAAGAGTGACAGTAGCCGATGTCAACGACAATGCTCCGAAAATGGACATTCCATCATCGTGCATCACTATATCGGAGTTCCACGATATGAAAGATTTAATTTTCATCATCAAAGCGAAGGATGCAGACGATCCAACAACGCCAAACGGTCGGGTGAAGATTAGAATCATTTCTGGAAACGAACTAGGTGTGCGCAAACATATTGCAATATTTTTTCCTTCGTAAAGTATCTAACGATTTTATCGTAATAATTGTTAATTCGAGTAAATCTAATTTCTTGTTTTTCGTGTCAGGTTTCTTCATACTGGAGCAGGTAGACTACTGGACGGCAAGCATAAAAGCAGCGCACTCGCTTCGAGGAAAATTTGGCAATTATTCACTGTCACTGGAGGCACGCGATCTTGGCAGTCCCTCCAACAAAGACGCCGCGACTCTGAATATTTGCGTCACCGACTACAATGACAATCCACCGGTGTTTATTAGCCCCCAGCATAACACGACGATCCGTGTACCAGAGGTAGTTACTCGAAACATCGATTTATCATAAAATTGAGCATTACGGTATTTCATGAATAAATTCATTGGAGTTATTGGTGCAGCAGTGTAAAAAGTATTCGTACACCGAGCTTCAGCTGTTTTTGATAAATCGTCGATATTTGAGTGTTATAATAGCGTAGAAAAGAGTCATGCCATAATAAATCTCCACTTACTTTAAAGCTCGAAGCCCCTACCTTCGCAATTCATCAATCAGCTCTTCCTACCATGTTCTTACAACTCGTAGCAAACGGAAAACTGAAGACAGATTTGAGCAAAAAGTGATCGATGGTTAACGATTATAACTCGTTAATTCTTATAACTAATTTATAATAATTCGGCAAAAAGTAATCTGATAAGTAAAAGATAAGAAAGATAAGAAAGATAAGAAAAGTAATAAACGATTATAACCCCGTTAGTTATTATAACTAATTTATAATAATTTATAACAATTATACATTACTTAATTAATTATGTATTATTATAAATTAGTTATAATAACTAACGAGCTATAATTATTAATTATTTTTAATGCTTAATTTTGACTGAAGACGTAGGTTTACTCGAAAATGTTGCAAATTGAAACGTCTCCAAAATCACATCGAAAAGTTCTTTTTCACGAGTAAATCGACCACGGATTGAGTATTTAAACAATATATTGTTAATCGATGCAGACAACTTTTATTTTGCATAAAGATCCACATACGAGACGTTAACGTAACAACAATTATTTTCAGAATGTGACGATTGGGACACCAATTATTCAAATCGAGGCCAAAGATGCAGACACAGGTCCGAATGGGGATGTTCATTATCGACTTAAACAAGATTTGGCTGGTCATTGGAGAACTTTCGATATTGATGACATAACTGGGGTTGTTTCTCTGAAGCTTCCCTTAGATAGAGAAACTCAAAAATTGTATGAGGTAAGTGCAGTTGTCACAAATTACAATTAGAACTAACTATTTAACATTATTAGAGAAAACAACATAATTCCTCTCCATATAAATCATTTTTTTAAATATGCTCGTAGAAAAGAAAGATGTTTAGCATTGTAATCTATTTATTGGGTGCTCCCTCGATTTTGTAAATGTTGCTAATATCAAATCTTCAATTTTCTAATGTCTCATTTCTATTATATCGCATAAATAAATATTGCAGTAATATTTTAGTAATATTGTAGCAATAAATATTGTAGCAATATTGTAGTAATATTGTAGTAATACTGTAATAATATTGCACTAATATTGCAATAATATTTTGGTGATATTATAGTAATATTTTAGTAATATTGTAGCAAAATTGTGCAGTAATATTACAGTAATATTGTAGTAATATTACAGTAATATTGTAGTAATATTGTAGTAATATTGCAGTAATATTGCAATAATATTGCAGCAATATAATATTATTAATAAATAAACATTGTCATATTTTAAAATCTAGACGCAGTGATGTAGTAATATTATAAACAAATAAATATTGTGGTATTTTAAAATTCTGCAGTAGAGATCAATTAATATTGTAATAAGGTAATGACGTAATAATGATTTTTGTCCCCATAGTCTAAACATTAACGTCCGACGTTATAAAATAATTATCTTTCATTCGCAGATCAGGATAGAAGCGTTCGATTTAGGCACGCCGACGCCCCTGAGTTCGGATCTAGATCTAATAATCTACGTCCGAAATATCAACGACTACGAGCCACAATTTTTAGTAGACATTTTCAAGACGAACTTCACCGAGCAACAATTTCCTGGCACAGAAACGATCGTGCTACCTCAGACCGTCGACCGTGACGATATCGACGAGCTCGAGGATCCTCCGGCACAAGTTTGCTACTTCATAGTCAGCGGAAACGACGATGGTTTCTTTGTCCTTGACGTATTCAAACACGAGTTAACCGTAAGTTTCGAATCCGTTCGTCGAACGTGATTCGATTGATGAATATTTAACGAAGAACGATTGCAGACGGCTAAAACGTTGGACAGAGAGCAACAACAGCAACATTTACTGGTTATCAAGGCAACGGAAGACTGCAACACAGTTCCGACAAATGACAGCTTCATCGAGGATGCCACTGATACCACGTTGAAAGTCATTATAGACGTGACTGACGTGAACGACAATCCTCCAAAATTCGTCAGCAAAATATTTACCGGCGGCGTGACCACGGACGCTGATTTTGGTACACAGTTCATGCAAGTCAAGGTGAAACGTCATTAAATTGAAGCGGGAATAATTAGACTATAATGATTAAATAATTTAAATATAACGCTTAGATAATTGAATAGCCAAAATATAATGATTAAATAATACAAATATATTAATTAAATAATACAAATATATTAATTAAATAATTTAAATATAGTAATTAGTAAATAAAATATAATAAATAACGAAGTAAAATTAGAAAGCTCGGAATGCAAAGTTCAAATGATTTTAATGTATATTGTATTGTTTAAAGGCGATCGATCTAGATGCTGGAGAAAATGCAGTAATTAGTTACTACCAAGTCGACAAGATTCACATGACGTTGACAGAGGGTCTGGATGACATCGAGATACAGCCTTTCCTCGTTCACAAACACACTGGCGTTGTGAGTCTGAACTTTGATCCACAAAGAGGAATGAAGGGATATTTCGATTTTATGGTAAGTGCGACTCTCAGTTATATATATATATACAATTGAAAACATTGCAGACACGAGAGTTATATAAATATATATATATATATATATAATAGAATATAAATATATATATATATATATATATATATTTCGAACAATTAAAATTTTAATTATTTATTCGAATCTAGTTATTACTCTCGTGTCTGCAATGTTTTCAACTGTTAAATGAAAGTGTAATCAAAGGACGTGTAACATTAAATATTGTTTTCTTGAAACAGGTCTTAGCTAACGACTCACACGGTCTTCAAGATACAGCCAGAGTGTTCATTTATTTACTAAGAGAAGATCAAAGGGTTCGTTTCGTACTGAGGCAACACCCACCGGAAATCCGGAACAAAATTGACACGTTCAGAGAGTACGTTTTGATAATTGCGCTTTAAATTAGCCAGCAACTGAAACTTCATTTGTCAGTAGTTCGATGAAAAAAGGTGGAAAGACTTGGAGAGAAATTTTGCATCGTAAAACAAGCTTACTCCTTCGTCATAATTTATATTTTTGTCAAGAGGACGTTGCCAGTGAATTAAATAATTCATTTCTTGAATTTAACATCAGAACTACCAAAACGGTCGAAATGACTAGTTTTTGATGTTTTCTTCTACAGATCCTAATATTTTAGAAATTATTGCTTTGAGAAACGTTTAAATAAACTTCTACATTCAACAGAAATCGTACGAAGTTTAAGTAAATCATATCTTGTCACTGCTATGAAACAATATTCATTATATTCAAAATTGACACACTTGTTTAAAAAGAAAAGTTGTACTTAAATGTATTGTACGTAGCGTAATTCTTACAATTAGTATAAAACATGTTTTATTTGAGTGCTACCATCCAAACGAAATTAGGAGAAAATGTAAAGTCAAACACAATATAAATAAAATATCGATAATACAAAAATTAAAAATCAAAAGTAGAATTTATGTAGAATCTTCCAAGGGATGTAAAAATATGTGAAGTCTTTCAAAACCACTGATGTTAATACGACTATAAATCCTAAATAAAAAAGGGGTTAATAGATCTGGTGTTAAATAGATTTTAATTGAAAATGATTAAATTCAATACTAACTCCAATAACCCAATTGCAATCTCTTAATAATAATTATACAAAATACGTTTGTATAGCTCGAAATGGGCTAAGAAATGAATGAATTTGAAATTGTTTAGGACACTGGGAAACGTGACGGGAGCGATAGTGAACATCGACGAGTATAAAACCCATGAGAACCATGACGGTTCCGTCGACCGTACGAAAACGGACCTCTATTTGCATCTTGTCAATCGCCGTGACAATTCCATCCTGGAGGTGTCCGAGGTTCTCGAGTTGGTCGACAGAAACATTGAAAAGCTCGACGGCCTGTTCAAGGAATTCAATGTTCTCGACACGCAACCAGCCCAGTATCAGCCGATTATACAGTACGAGCAAGCGGGGACGACTTTTTGGCTTTTGACTTTGACCCTGTTTCTAGGCGCACTGCTAATTTTGTGCATAGCTCTGTGCCTTTCACAAAGAGCCTCGTTTCGCCGGCAATTGAAGGCAGCGAACGCGTCGCCTTTCGGTAACTATCAATCCCACTGATCGAACATTTTCTGTTCCTACCATGCAATTAGACTGCGGATGTCTCTGCATTTATAGCGAATGCCAGTCGATAACAATGCCAACGAAATTCAACTACCGACATGCACAAATACTGAATTAGTATTCAATATGGGACACTTGGTACAATATTCATTTTTTAAAGCTAATTTAGACAAAATTCAAGTTTGAACACTCAATTAGATTAATATTCTATTTTTAAAATCCACAATTTATTCTATATTCTATATATATTTATTAGAAAGACAATATTCAGTTTTATAAGTTCATCAAGCTCAGTATTTCATTTTAAATGCTGAATTTATTCAATATTCAATTTTGAAAACTCAATTCAATTCTAATACAGTGCTTTATTCAACATTCAATTTTGAAAGTGAATTTATTCAATATTCCATGTTTAATGCTTTATTTATTAAATACTCAATATTTAAATCTCAATTTACTCAACCTTGAATTCTAAAAGAGTTCATTATATATTTTTGAAAGCTCAATTTATATATTATTGAATATTCAATTTTTTCCAGCTTAATAAGCTCAATTTCATTTTACACAAGCTCAATTTTCTATATATAAGACTTTTAAAGTTCAGTTTTCTCAATATTAAATTTTGAAGTCCAATTTATGCAATGTTCAGTTTATAAAAAACTCAATTTAGTGAACATTTAGTTTCGAGTGCTTAATTTACTCAACATTAAAGCTTTCCAGAA